GTGGTTCGCACCTGTGTCCCGGGTTCCCGTCTGCGACAGCCGCCCCAGCATCCTGTTCCCTGACTGGCCCTGGGGGCCCCAGGAGTGCACCCCCTTGCGTGTGTTTTAGGCCTGCACGGCCTTTCGTGCCTGTCCGCTGTGTCCGTCCGGCCTCTGCCGTCCTTCAGAGCCCAGCACGATGTCACCTCCTGGGGGAGGAAGGGGCCCTGGCCGCCCGGCCTATGGGCCTCTTTGGCGAGGCCAGCCGTGGCTGTCCTTGCATGTCCCCGACACAGTGGTGGTGCCTGCCCCGAAGGAGCTCGCTCATTCGGACAGTCGGGCCTCTTCCCGCCAGCTGGGCTCGCCTGCCCTTCCGAGGCCCGGCAGGGGCTCACGGGGCGGAGCGAGCGGGTCTGCACTTGGCCGCGGCAGCCCGGGCGCGGCAGGGGAGCTGCTTCCCATGAAAGGTCGCGCTGTGTTTGTGTTCCGGCTCTTTCTTCTCATTGAGTTCCTCCGAGGCCCGGCTTATCTGAGCACAGAACCTCTTTGTGCCTCAGCTTGCACCATGTCACGGTGAATGTCACACAAATGGGAACGTGCCTGGAGGCCATCTGGACCCGCGTCCCCCCTACCCAGCTGTCAAGCTGACGCCATGGATGTGGCCTCCTTGGGAAGCGTTGCCGGCCTTCCCACCCGCTCCCTGCCCAGGGAGCCCCTCCCGGGCCCTTGACACCTTCACTCCCCAGGCCGGTCCCAGGAGGGGGAATCGCTGGCACTGGGCAGCCACGGCCAGCGTGGGGTCTTGGTGGAACGGCCTTGGCCAGCACAGGCCACGAGCCACTGGGGGAGGGGGACACGGCACGGGGACACACGGAGCCCACAGCCCAGCTCGTCCTCCAGGAGGACCAGACACCCTCCCCGTGCAGCTGGGGGTCGGGAGTCGGGACGTGAGGCCCAGCCCAGGAACTGCCTCCAGACCTCACCACAGGACACGCTTTCCCGAAGACCCCAGGAATGAGGAGAGAAGGGAGCAGGAGGGAGGGAGTCCCAAGCCAGGGGCCACTGGGAGGGGAGCAGCATGAACCTGTCTGGGTCACCTCCTGGGAAACTGAGTCCCAGCCAGGCAGAACCAGGTCTCCCAGCTGCAGTCCCCGCCCACCACACACGCGGCTGCTCCGTGGGAGGCGGGAGACGTCCAAGGTGGGGCCTTCAGACCATGAGCCGCGTGGGGGGGACACATCCTGCTGTCTCACCTAGCACCGGCCCTGGCCCAGGTGAGCGCCAGGAAGCCCCTCTGGGCGGGGTTTGACGCTAACGTTTGTGCAGCTGTTTGATGAGGAGGGTCCGTCCAGGTGACAGGGCTCGGAGAGGCCGCCACAGACTGTTAGTGCCAGGCTTATTATGCTCTCTTGGGGAGCTGCTGTCCTGTGCCCCTTCCCCAGCAGAGGGAGGCCAGGCTGGAAGTGGTGAGAAGGGGCCGAGCTCGCTCAGAGGCTGGCACGGACCCCAGACTCACACCCGGTGCCACGCAGAAGCCCCGTCTCCCCTCGACCCTGCCGGTGCCCTGTGCAGAGCATCGGGGCTGAAACGTGCTCGGGCAGCCCCTCCCCCGCTGCCCCAGGCACACGGCCGGCTCTGGCGGGGGGGCCTGAAGAGCCCCCTCTGCAAACAGTCTCCGTCTCTCTCCTCCTTCCGCTCCTGGTTTCTGAGCCGCAGTTGTGACTGTCGGTCAAACGTCCCACCACGAACCAGGGGGCTGATGGGGAGGCCGCCCTCTGCGTGGGGGAAACACGTGAGGGTTTTTAACTCCTGCTTCTGAGTTTTCCGCATTTCCTTGATCATTTGTGTGATCACATCAGAAAGGGTATTGGCACTAAGGAGAGCACAATGTATTTGTATTATAGATAATTTTACATTTTTAAGAAAAAATACACAAACCTCTGTATCCAGTTCCCTCTTCCCCACCCCCCCAAAAAAGAAAAATACAAATTGTCTATAATGTCACCCCCCCAAAAAAAAAATTCCTTAAGGCCTTTCCTGGGCTGCCGTAAGGTATTTAATTAATTTGGGGACGAGTCTCCCCGTCTCATCGCTTCCCATGTAATCTGTGGCCCCACAGCGTCCTTCAGGGCGGCTGGTTTCTGCTGTGCATGCACCTCCCAGACCATAGTGAGACTGGCCCCCTGCAGTACTCGGACAGGTGCGCACACCGCTCTTCTCGCCGGAAGTCTGGGCCGTCGGGGACGCTGGAGGCACCGTGTGTGGCTGACCCGGCACCCGCCCCTCCTTCCAGCCCCCACACAGCCCGCGTCCTGGTGGGCGATGGCCGTCCTCCCTGCTCCGGGGCCAGTTGGGCTGAGCTAACGTGACCATCTCTGGTCTGCGATTGCTCCAGAATGGGCCGGGAGAGCTGAGAGGAAACACGCAGAGGGCACCTGAGAACCAGCAGGAGCCCCTGTGGGGATGAGCCAACCCTGGGTACCCTCAGGGAGAGAGACAGGAGGCACCCAGGTCCTCGACGACATCAAGGACACCTGTCTGAGCCTGGACTCCGGCCACATGGGCCGACACGTGGCCAGGCTGACTCAGCAGTGCGAGGCCGAGCTGGTGCCCGGCGTGGGTGCCGCGTGTGCCTGAGCCAGCCATGCTGTGGACGGGACAGTGACGGCTGGGGGACGTGGGTGTCAGGGGAAGGGGAGTGACAGCTGCTGTGAGTGTCACGGAGAGCGCGGTGCTGGGCAGTGAGAGGTCAAGGGAGCTGTGAGGCCTCGGGACGGCCACTGGCCACCAGCCACTGTTGGAGGCAGCACCACTGCCGATTTCCGGCTACAGAGAATGAGGCACCTTGGCAAAGCAACCAGATGTGTCTTCAGCCCTGTAGCAGCTGACCTTTAAATCATCAGAGGCAAACCATGCTTGTCTCAAAACGTTTAAGTCCCCACCCCAAACAATTATGCAGGTCACTGTGCCTGTGGACAGCCAACATCAATACTGTGTGCACGCTGGTCTGTGCCAGCTTGGCCGTTCTACGGGGAAGGGGTATCAGGCCATCGTGCAGGTGACTGTGCCCGTGGAGAGCCAACGGTGACATCTGTGCACGCCGGCTTCAGCTGGCTTGGCCGTGAGGAAGTGAAGCTGGTCGCCAGCTCAAAGAGCCCGGCGCCGACTGCCAGCCGGGGAACCAGGCCAGTCCAGCACCTTGCAGGGGTCAGTTCAGGAACAGCCCTTCTGTGGGCCCGAGGCAGCCAGAGCTTTCTGCATCCCCATTCTCGGGGTTCCTCCTCTTGATTCCTTTCTGGTTTTGGTTTTGTTTTCGCAAGGGTGAGATGCTACGTGTTGCCGCAGACACCGTCCCAGAACTGGGTGGGCACCGGGCCGTTACTCCTCAGTAAAGAACTTCAACCCGAGCTCTGCCCCAGCCGCCAGGCGCGGCCGCTCATTGTAGAGCTGCTGCTTTTGTTCCGGGAACATCTGTAAGTTCTCTCTCCCTGCTCTGTCTCAGCGATGGGGCAGAGTCACCTGTGGGTCTCATCTGACCACTGTCTTCGATGGCTCTGTGACATCGCGTGTACACACCATGACGCTCACACCGTGGTGTTTGCCGTTTATACGCACGGCCCCGTGATCTTTAACACTCCTGCAGGGCTGCGCCGCCATCGGCCCAGTCTGGCTCTGGAACATTCCCCCAACCCCGCAAAGGCCCTCGCGCCCCTCAGCAATCAATTTCCAGCTCCCCCCACCCCCCAGAGGCAGGAGGCAAGCTGCACCTTGAAGGATCTCTATTCCGGCACGTCCTGCAGCGTGGCCGCGCCAGCACGGCGCGCCGAGTAACGCTCCTCTATGCGGAGAGCTCGTCCTTTGTCCATAGTCCGTCGACAGGCGCCTGGGCCGTCTCCGCGGCTGTCGGGAACAACGCCGCTGCGGACGTCGGCACGCGGGTTTTTGCTGGCCGTGTTTTCAGTGTTCTCAGCTTCTCGGGTGTGCGCCCCGGGGTGGAATCGCTGGGCCACAGTCGCGCTAGGTGAGCCGTCCCGGCAACAGCCAGGCGGCTTCCGCAGGGGGCACCGTTCACGTCCACTGGCAGCGCCAGGGCCCCCTCTCTCCACGTCTCGGCAGCACTTGCTGTTGTCCGTTCCTGTGACTGACGCCGTCCTCGTGGGTGTGACATGCTGTCTCACTGCGGGTTTGGTGTGTGTTTCCCTGATGACTAATGATGTTGAGCAACCTGGGGGGGTCACCACGCCCAACCCCTGATCGCAGGCACAGGTCCGGGCTCCACTCCTGCCCCGCCCCATAGCTGGCGCCGCCGCACACAGAACGGGCGCGTGCAAATGCGCCACTTCCCGGGAAAGTGTCGGCGTCAAGGACACGGAGGCAGAGGGAGGCACACAGCAAGGACCGTGTTCGGCCCTATGGTCTATTTCACAGCAGGTGAGGAATGGCAGCACGCTTGTGGGGGCAGGGAGCACTCAGGAGGGCATGGGGGAGGGGCCTGGCCTGGTGCACCCTCCCTCCCCATCACTCTGCAACCTAAAGGATCCCTCTGAGGTCAGAGCCCCTCGAGTTTCACACCGTCAGTGGCCTGGGGTCACCAAACACTTCTCGACAGCCATTGAACTGAAGACCTGGCATCTGGAACGATGCTCCCGGGCTCTGGGAGGACCACAAGTCGAAAGGAAAGAACAGAGGATGCTGGATCTCACGGCAGGATGGTGTGTGCACAGGACACTGCGGGGAGGAAAGGGGCTATGAGTGGGCTGGCTGCTCTGGGGGGGCCACATCTGCCATAAACATGTCCGTGGGCCACTGTCTGTGGGGCCACGGGATTGCCTGGTCCGACAGCCCTCGTGCCAACTTCCGCCATCTGTGCGAGGCCCCGGCACGAGCCAGGAAGTGCGCTCAGGCGGCGGCACGGCTGGCTCCAGGTCTTTAAAAAACGCATCCGGGAAAGACGGACCCTTTTGTCCCCTCTCCCTTGTTAATCAGCTGCCTCAGGGGCCCAGGCAGGGCAAAGCCTGGGGTCAGAATTTACCATCTTTTGGGAGAATGACGGCAGCCTTGCTGAGCGCCAAGATGTCGCACTTGTCCACGAATTCTTTCAGACTCTGGAAGCTCGATACGTTCTGTCTGTCTGCGGTCAGGGGTCAAACCCACGCATCGAAGACTCCACCCGGCCATCGGGGTCTCACGCTGACCCCTGCCCTGGGAGAAACTGCCGCCCCGCGGGGGAAGGACAGCCGGCCCGCCACGGCTGGCAGCAACCTGCCCCCCATTTCCAAGGTGGCCAATCAGGGAGCCCCCTGCTTGCACAGTGCCCTGGCCGGCTGCATCCTCAACATGCACACCCCTCGACTGAGACCCAGGACCCCGCTCCGGCCCCAACAGGCTGCTCCTGCCCCCGCACCCCGAGTGCTTGATGCGGACGTGGGTCCCACCCGGCTACCTCCACGTGCCCCCTCCATCTGGGGCGGGCCCTACCCAGACCCCCTCCCACCCCCCCTTCTCCTCCCTGG